GTTCTTTAGGAGGTAGCATTTTGATGCATAGTTTTTGCTAACATATTTGCTTAGGTTGTATTTTCATTTGTGTACTAATTTTTGAGTTGCCGAACACATTACAAAATTCTGAAAATGTAACCTTGGGTATGCAACAAAGGCTAGCAAATCCAAATAGTATATTTGACTACAAACTTCTGATAGGTTTCTAATCAATCCTAAGAATCACTATCAGTAGAATTGTATATGATTGATATCTTGGGTGTCAGTGGCTCCTGATTTTTCCTATCAGATGATGGCAACATCCAACTCACATACATAAATTCTAGATACTTGTAGATACCAATTATTGAATGTGTAGCTATGTGCGAGTATTGCCAACAAATCAAACAAAAATTATTAGGTGCCATGGAAATCAGGAGATTCAGACAGTTCAAATGAGTATAAAGATTTATTGCAAGCTTAAGCTCTCTGTAAGAATCTGAACTATTAGCAGTTAAGGGAAAAGAGTGGGAGTTAAGAAAGGAATTCAAGTTGGACTGGACTTAGATTTCTTGTGGGCGCACAGGAACTGATGACTGATAACACATTTGACCCCCTCCCTCAGTCTCAGCCTGGTCATCTCCTACAGAAATGCTTTTCTTTCTTTAACTATCAAAGAACTATATGTTAGGTTGGAAGAATAGAACTAGCCAAGGCAAGTTTTTTATTCCTTTTTACACGTAATAATTAAGAAGTGAACAGAATGACAGAAATGAAAGGTCTTCTACTCCAACCCCCTGTTCAAGAATGAGACCCTATACCATTTCAGACAATTGGCTGCCCAATCTCTTCTTAAAAACCTCTAGTGATGGAGTACCCACAACTTCCGAAGACAAGCTGTTCTACTGGTTAATTGTTCTCACTGTCATGAAATATCTCCTTGGTTCCAGGTTGCTTCTTTCCTTGATTAATTCCCATCCATTGCTTCTCGTCCTGCCTTCTAGTGCTGTGAAAATTAGGTTGACTCTCTCTTCTTTGTGACAGCCCCTCGAATATTAAAACACTGTTATCTTGTCATTCCTAGTCCTTCTTTTCACTAGACTAGAAATAGCCAATTCCTGCAATCATTCTCCATATCAGCCTCCAGCCCCCTAATCATCTTTGTTGCTCTTCTCTGCACTATTTCCAGAGTCTCAACATCTTTTTTATATAGTGGTGACCAAAATTGGATGCAGGATTCCAAATGTAGTCTTACCTTATAAAGCAATACTAACAGCTCTCATGATCTTGATTCTATCCCTTTGTTAATGCAGCCTAGGATTGCATTGGCTATTTTGGCAGCTGCAGTGATAATTTATAGGCATCTGAGTCCTTTGTGGCTTACCCTGTTGGGTATGCTTCTTACATTTCCTGCTTTGTATCTGAGGTTTTTTTTGCCTTCCCATCTTCTTGTTTGATTGACTAACTTGAGGTTTATGCTTGGGATTAGGTCCTAAAGATTGGTCACCCTTCCCCCTCAGTTTTTGTTTATCCTTTGGATAAACTGATCTAGTCATTTTCCAAATTCACTCTTCCCAGTTCTTGTGAGATGCAATCCATCCCTTGCCAGAACCCTTCATGTAAGTAATGCATACTGTGGTCTAATTCTAATGAATAAATTCTAATGGATTAAGATTCATTACTCAGATTTATAGGCTGATTGTATGTTCCATCTCTGCAACAAGTTTTTTTTTAATGTAAAAAAACCATTTCTAATTCATCAAGAAAACATTTTTGAATAGTAAACAATCACGGTGTATAGGAAAGCTATCTTACTTGGGTTCCTGAAGATATCCTGTTATAACGGGCAATTGATGGCTTTCCTGAATTCGACATTTTATAGATGATCTCACCAATCAGTCTAAATATTTGTTTCCATTCCAAAAAAATATTAAGATATTACTTTTTCTCTATCTGGGTCTGGAACCCATTAAGCTGAATCTAACTAGGGCAAAACAAAATTCAGTTAGCAAGTTTTAAAGCTGCCGCAACCCCAAACTGGGTAGACTTGCCAAAATTTTAAAAACTAAGAACATACATTTTTCCAGCAGGGGTGGGGTTCTACAGGTTTGCACCTATTCGCTAGAACCAGTTGTTAACATTCTAAGCAGTTCAGAGAACCAGTTGTTAGAAGAAATTACTGGCCTAATCCTGTAAGGAAGGCAGGAAGGAAACATTCTGGTGTTGCTTACAGAAACTGCCTCTCCGTTAACCCTTATTACATTCTTGGCAGCACTAGACTTCCTGTCTTTGGAAACTTCTCTGGAGTTCTTTTTTCCCCTCCTTTACTGATACTTTGCTTGTGTGGAATGACCATTCAAAGTTACAATGGCACTAAAAAAAGTGACTTATGACCATTTTTCACACTTACGACTGTTGCAGCATCCCTATAGTCATGAGAGGGCAGGCGAGGAGATGCGTGCCTCAATGTGAGTGATGTTGAGTTGGCCATGCCCAGCCAGTCCCATGACCACCAAGCCACGCCCACCAACTAAGCCACACCCACAGAACCAGTTGTTAAAAAATTTGAATCCCACCCCTGTTTTCCAGTGTTGTATTGATGAATACTTTGTGCTGCCAGGCAAGAAAAAGTGAACTCTTGACTCACAACTGTTGAAAATCAGGATGAAATTTAGCAATTTCAAAGCAGGAGAAATGTCAGTTCCATAAAATATATAGAAACAGATGGTAGGTTAATGTGATTGAGATAGAATCCCTAGGAGTTGGGTAGCTTGTAAATTTTAACCATAAGAAAGCTAAAATAAAAAAGAAAGACATGAGGTTCTCTGTGCTTTCTGAGCTTAGTGTATTATTCTGGTATCCAATTTGATATAAGGCTCAACAAGACAAATACACTGGAAAATAATAATTAAACTTATCCTTGATTAATTGTGAACTACTGTATGTTTGCATATGCTAGTTTATGACCATAATGAAGATTTGATTTGATAAGTCTGCAAGACTATAAATAAATGAAATTACATTGCCTTGATTAACATTAAATATTTTATATATCTTGCCAGATTAATTTACCAGTAGATTAGAAGGAAGCTCCTGCCTTTCCTTACAAGTTTAAGGGGAATTTGCAGAAAATAAATAAATAGAAGAAATGACAAAATTGGAGGGAAAAGAAAGGATTAGTAATTGTGTCACTGAAATAAGCTTTGCACATTGTTTATCTTGTAGTAATATTATGAAATGTGAAATTGTTTTTCCTCAAACTTCGGCTTTAAAACATTGAAATTCCCCCATATTTGCATACAGAGAGAGACATACAGACACTGAAAAGAGTTTCTGTTGTGCATTCTTAGCAGTAAGCAAATTGTTTTTAGAAACTGTGGGCTCACTCTAATGCCCTTCCTTCAGCATATACCTTACAGGGTGGGTATCACAAATTCCCATAGCACATTGTTTCTGCCCCTTTGGCATGCCAGAGCTGGAAAGAATTACACATGCTATTTTATATTGCAGGTTTTATATAACATTGTATTTTCTGCTCACTGATAAGATTTTTATACACCTAGAACACAAGTTGTGTTACTTGTCATCAGGGCTTTGGCATGGGCTCTATAGTAGAACATAAGATGGATTGTTATATATACTTATTTGTATTTTCTCTTTTTCTGCCCCCCGCCCCCTTTCTCTCTCTCTCTTTTATATGCTGGCTAAATTGAAAGTTGAAATTAAATGGAATCAAAAGCCATGTTTAAAGTGACAGATTAAGGATAAGGAACCTACAGGTAGTCCTTGACTTACAATCACAACTGGAACCAAAATTTTGCAAAACAAAGTGGTTGTTACTTGAACCATGCCTGACTTTACAGCCATTTTTGCTATGGTTATTAAATGAATCTAGTTTCCCCAAAGTTTTTTGCTTGTTGGAAACATCTGGCAACATCCCCATGTGGTGATTGCATAAATACACGTTGGTTACCAAACACTCAAATTTTGATCGCATTAATGTGGGGATGCTGCAATGATCATCACTGTGAGAAATAATGATTAATCAGTTTTTTCAGTATGCTTGTAACTTTGAATAATCACTAAATGAATGGTTATAAGTTGAGCACTATCCTTGTATTATAACTGGGATAACCTCTGCTTAGCTACTATCTTTCAACTTAACTCGTGAGACTGAACTAATGCAAGAACCAAATGGGAGAGTATAGCGCCATATACCACTCTGTGCTTCCTGGAAAGACAATTATATTAACAAAAAATAAATATTTAGAGAAAATTTAAAAACCACAGGAGCTAGCTTGTATGTTCAGTTACAACTCCCATCGCCGCTAGTCAAATGATCCACTATCATTGTCAGCTAGAGATGATAGTGTCAAGGCTGACTTAAAAGATCTGGTGAAAGGGAAAATTGTGCATTGCAAGAACATATTGATTTCATGTTCTGATCTCACAAAGGCCCCAGTGCTGGGATCAGTCAAAAGGAGGGAAGCAAGAGAAATAAGCAAAGAAACAACATGCTTGTAGGAACAACCAATTTCTTGTTGCGCCACAGACTTAGACATTCAGTGTTCTGCTTCCCCCATGGGTAGACTCAAGCATTATTGCCTTTTCAAATTTCAGCAGTTTAGAGTTGCGTATTTCCCTGGGATGAATCATTTGTCCTTATTGCAATGAAATGTAATACCAACTCCAGTACTACACATCACATTTACAGTCCATAAGGACATAGCCATCTTTGCAAAGATAATGTGTCAATGATGCTTGCTTTCTTGTTTATTTTTCTGCCTAAATAAAATCCTTCAGTGCAACAACCTGAATGAATATTTGGGTTTGTGGTATATGCATATGCACACCAAGGTACTTATGTACATGTGCGCACACACACACACACAGAAACACAGATGCATTCTCCCAGAGGTCTATACTTTGCCTGCTGCAGGACTATGTAGCTTTTATGTTGGTGGATATGAAAAATAGGTGGTGATGTTTACCTCAATTGCATAATCAGACCTTCCATGGTTTATGTGATCCTCATGCAGAAAGAAAAGAAAAGCGGACTCTTGAAACTTCTAGCAGGAGCCTCTACGAAAAAGAAACCTCGCTCTCCTCCCTCCATGTCTCCAACACATGATCCTATGGCAATAGTGGAAGGGATGCTGCAGGGCGCAATGGGACCTGAGTTGTCCTCCCTCTCTAGCCATGGGAGGGCAGGATCCTGCCCTATCGAGAGTGAAATGCAAGGCGCAATGGAGATGGAGCCTCTGCACAGAAAGACGGGATCTTTGGATCTGAATTTTTCTATCCCTTCTCCCATAAGGCAACTGCCACCTTCAATGGCAACCAGCCACCCAGAAGCTAAGCCGTTGAATCGAGAAAGGTAAGGCCTTAAATGCAAATACAGTGCAATGAAAACTCCCTGTTTGCAGATTTGCATTTCCAAGCACTTTCAATTAAGGCCATTTTTTTGTGTAATAACATCGCACAAGATTATTTGAACAGAAAGGTTATATTTGCAGTTCATTTCGGCCTTTTTTTCCTATTATCAAAGCAAACCAATCAGAATTCTTTCAGAATGGAAGGCAAAAAGATTTATTCAACCCACTGGCTGTAATATTGAGGGTGGGGAGAATGATCAAAATAATCATGTCCCACTTGTGATCCTAAGAATGGAAGTTAATCCAGTATTTTGATTGCCAATCAAGTCTAAGAATAACCTCTAACTGAAAATTATCTTAATTGTAAGCGGGATTTCCTCTAACTGGTTTATTAATTAAATCAATTCATATTCTGAGTTGATGTGGTGGAATGTAGTGCAGAGTCTCTGTTGGTCTTTATCCCTTAACATTTGGTATATTTTTAATCAATAAGTGAGGAATATTAATTTCATCTTTTTGTGAGGAGCTTAGTCATGGAATTACTTGAACAGCTATATTAATCTGGAAGTTCATTCCACATCCATTTGTTCTCATAAATATAGTCAAAAGATCCTTTTTAAAAATGTCATGTCCCATCTGGTGCACGTCTGATTCATAGTGAAGAATCACTGCCAATTTACAACATGACACCAGTTACTACTATGTACACCCAAATACTCTGCATTTAGAAGTTTCATATTTCATTCATAAGTATCATATCTAATTACTGGACTACCTCCAAATTACTGCCTTCCTTTATCTTTCAAAATAGACCCACCCAATCCAGATATAAAACAAAGATTGGGATCCAACTGAAAGAATTAAAGAGTACAAAGGCAAAGTATACTGAATTCTTCTCTTAATCTTATTACACATCTCTTCAAGCATTCTTGCACCATCTGGTTTCAACTCCAGAAATGAATCTCTGGAACAAAAATTCCTCATGAATGGTCATGCAGGGAGATGAAATTAAGAAGAGCCTTCATTACTGTGAAGGAAGATGGCTTGTCCATCTCCCTTGAATGGCCCACAACAGAAGTTGGGAAACATCTTTTATTTTGTCCTTGAGATATTTCCTAACCTCCTTGTATGTTGAATGAAGCAAAACAACTAGTTTAGTTCAGGCTCCCCAGCTTAAACCCAGCAGAAACTTCCCAGCCCTTCAATACAGGAAGGCTATATAAAAATTTGTATTGCTTACTGTATTTGCATGAAGCCACTAGAAACCGAACAAACTAGCGTACCTTTGTTCCTCCTTCCCCAAAGCTTCACATTTTTTTTTCTCTTGTCCTTCTTGGCCTGAGAGCTGATCAACAGTTGACAAAACTGACATCTTTGCTTTCAGAAACTTTGGTTCTCAATTTCACCCCTAGAGCTTTCATTGGAATTAGAATTTTTTTAAAAAAATGCTTTCATTGTATTGGATATTTGAAATGGAAAAGAAAAGACCTGGAATAGCTAAGACTGATTTTGACACACGTTATCCTGTCTCGTGCAAACTCATGTGCCAAATCTAGTCCTACTATTCATTACAAATAACAATAGCAATATACTTTTTGTGATTTTCAAGCTGCAGCTTCTTTGTTCATTGTCACCTATACATGATACATTGATAAATCAAAACTAGGTTGGTCTTCCAGATGACCAGAATTTCAGTCTCCTAATACTCCTGAGCCTGGGTTAAAATTCACCTCTAATAAATCCAGGCTATGAATTCAGACATTTGAGGTCATGTAAACAGGATTATATGTATGGGTTTTTTTAAAAAAATCTAGGACTGACAAAAAATCTGGTCTTTCTAGCCAATTCAGAATTGCCCACAGAATCTGGTCAAAAAGATGACATCCACAGTCAAATTTCTGACTATTGTTTCTGAAGGGGTATTGCTTGTTAAAAATTTAAGCAATTACAGAGGAAGCCCTTGAAGATTATCATGACCAGAAGCTGCTGTTGCCTTTCTAACTCCTGCAACGTATAATGCTGCCATATCAGCCACTCTGCCCTCAGGTATCTTTCTCAGCATGGCCACGAAATGCTATGACAGGACTTGAGAGAAAGGCAAAGAAAAACATCTGGGTAGCAATGGATTGCATCAGCACTGTTCGGAGGCAAAAGACAACAATAGCACAAGGATACGTCACCAGGAATGTTAGCGAGTCTGTTTGGTCTGGTTCATGAGAATCAATTGCTACTTTAACATACATCTCTCTCTTTTTTCAAATCAACCTTTATTGTCAGAGTGCAACATGTGTACAATGAGATTGGCTGATCCTCCTTTAATGCACACACACCCAACACAACTCACAATGAGGACAGAAGTCCCTAACCCAGACCCAATCTTATTACACCATGTGACCTTGTTGCACATTGTGCCAGCCCCTCAAGTCTATCATACTATGTTGACATGAAGCTATTTTCCGTTCAGAAGTCTGACAGCCACAGGTAGAAACTGTTCTTCAGCCTGTTGGTGCGGCTGGCTATGCTTCTATATCTCCTACCTGATGGCAGGAGAGTGAAGAAGTGCTGACTGGAATGTGAGTCGTCCCTGAGCATTTTCCTCACTCTTCTAAGGCAGCAAGCCCTAGCGAGGTCATCTAGTGGTATCAGGGAACAGCCCACAATGTTTTGTACTGTGCTCACCACCCTCTGTAATGTCTTTCTATCCATGGCTGTTCAGCCAGCATACCATTTTTATTCTACATAGAATAAAACATACATTTTTAACCAGTATTGTAAAGTACAACTAGAGATTGCAGGAAGTTCGACAACACTTAGGGATGGAAAAGGATGTTGGGAAAATCAGAATGGGTGTCTGAGAGGTTGCTAAGAAGGTATTTTCCCTAGTGAGAAGATGCTAGAAAGACAGGGATGTGAGCAGGCCAGTGGGGAAAACTGGAAAGATGTGGCCTGGGTGAGCCAGTTGGAAGAGTCAGCACAGAGAATCAAGACATGTTAGTGGGAAGATGTTAGAAAGATTAGGGAGAGTTAATAGGAGGACCACTGAGATCAGGAAAGGTAACAACCAAATTAGTGGTCTAATTTAGATAACAGCCATGTGTGTCATGCTCACAAGGCTCTGGCAACTTTGTGCGATGAAGCTGGAGTCATTGCTCAGGCAGCACCTGTCATCTTAAATGATAAACATATCAACAGAACTGAGACAAGCCCCTGGAAGTTTTCCCCTGTGAGAGCTGCTATAGAGTGCCATAACCCTGCCCTAGGTTAGGGACTGACATGGCATTAGCCTGGTTTGGCAAATCAGTGGAGCATTCTCCTGAGACTTAATGGCTAGTTATTTATGCTATGTTTTGAACAAAAAAAAAAGACCCCAAACAACACAAAGGGATATATATATATAGTCAATATTTTTAAGAGACAAAATCTCATTTGTCTCAAGTATGTATGCATATATATGTATCACTTTAAAGTTTCATCATTTGTTCATTGGAAATATGTCTAACCCTTCAGTGGAAATGTTGTTGTTAAGATTGATTTTCCATTTTTTAAGCATTTGGGGAATCTGAATTAATGTCAAGATTGTTGTATCAATGCAATGCATATCAATTTGAAGAATTCTGGGAAAGAGAAGTTTACACATCGTTTTGCCAACATGATACGGTCCAGTGAACCATGACTAACTTTCTCTCATTTTGTTTATCCATATGGAGTTGCAAGATTAGTTGGCGTCATTCTACCTAAAATTGCTGTAATGTAATAATGCAATTAGCTGACACTTGTTTAAAATAATGCACACATTTATTTACACATGGTTGAAATTGGCAATGCACCCTGAATGTAAGAGTGGCAGCTTTGCCATAGGCAATTTGATAGGTAATGTTATCTCAGTGAAACAAGATTCTCATGCCAAAGTTTAATCTCTCCGTATGCAGATATAAGACAGGTGACAATCAGATTTGGGAGGATGGGCTTGCCAATTAATTTTAAATAAGAGTATAAATAAATACACGTATGTAATCAACATGAAGTGTATATATGCCACATTATGCCTGCATGGCAAGCTTTGCACGCATACACATAATCTGGCATGGTGTACTGATTCTTCTCTGCATTTCCTGCAATGGCAAGGTGGCAATGATGATGGCTAATCCTGAGCAGGTCTATCTCTGGGGCTGCTCTAATGGCTATTGTTGACTTCAAGGCACAGAATAAATCAGTCATAAACATGTTGCTTTGCAAATGGATCTTATCTGCAATAAGCTTTTTTTTTTCCTCCCCTTTTCTTTTATGGAAGATATCGTGTCGTGGTCCCGTATCCTCCGCAGAGTGAAGCTGAGATTGAACTGAAGGAGGGCGACATTGTGTTCGTCCACAAGAAAAGGGAAGATGGTTGGTACAAAGGGACGTTACAGCGGAATGGCAGGTCAGGCCTCTTCCCCGGCAGCTTCGTGGAGAGCTTTTGAAGGGTTGGGTTGTGGACTTGAGGGACCTCCTGGAGGAAACGCTGGAGCACAAAACCATATCAAGCAGCAACAAATGGAAAGTGCCATAATGGGAGAGAGCCATGATTATGATTCCCAAAGTCTCTTTGATTGACCACCTGGAAGCAAAGGGTCTGGCAGCGCTTTCAAATAGTACATACAGCAGTATGTTGGAGTCGTGCCTTCTACATGGAACAGATCGGAGATGGAGAGGACACACGTTAAAATCCAGCCAGTATATTTCATGTAAATGATAGAGGAATTATGTTTGGAAAAGGAAAAAAAAACATGTTGTATCACTGTAATTTATTTCTCTGAGCTGCAGTGTTCTTATTACTGGCCTAGGGGAAGAGAAAGAGGGACTGGATTTCAAAGATCAGCCAGCTTGCTGTCTGTCCTCCAAGTAATGGGCATATGCAGAAAATATTGCTCACGTAGAAAGAACCAGAAGCCCCAAACATAACTTATTTCCACATATACCTCAAAAACACTCTATTCCATGTCCTCATGATGACATTCCCAGCCTGCCACCACAGCCCAAATTTGTCTTTCGTTGATTTGGTTTGGAAGTGGCGTTTCCTTCCCTTCTCAGTCCAAAGCTTCCCAAACTGACCACCAAGAGTGACGAGGGGTTGATGCACTGAGAGACAGCAATCTGCTTAGTTCCAGTTGGCCCAGTAGATCCGCTGCAGGAACGCTTTGTGTAAGATTTATAAGAGATACCAGGTACTTTGCATGTGTAGCCTATTTCCGTGGGTTGTGGAGACTGGACTTGGGAACAGCTCTTCCAGGGAATGGCCATTTCCACATCCAAACCCCCAAACCCTAAAAAGCATTGGAGCTAACAGGACAGAGGGGTTGTGGAGGGATATCTTGCTTTGAGTAGGGAACTCTGGAAGAAGCTGAGCGAGAAGAACCAGGAGACAAAGAGGGCTGTGGTCAACAGGGAAGCTCTTGCTCATCCCTGGCAAGGCAACATCTCCTGCGCTGGGCATCAAATGCCCTTTTTGCCAGGGGGACACATCACCTGGAAACGAGCAGCCCAATTTACTACATTAGCCAGACAAGGTGTGGGAATATTCAGATGTTGGAGAAAATCCGGCCCAGAGCATTGGGGGTTGGAGCTATGACTGCTGCCAGTAGAAAACAGCCTTCCGCCTCTTTTCTTGTCCTTCATTTTGGCTTGTATTTTGTTGCTGGTCCTTGTCTGTGAGAGAGGCAACTCTCTTCCTATGAGCAGAAGACATGGAGGCAGCAGAGGAGCAGGAAAATGGTTGGTCCAAGGAGGGCAAAGGGCCCAGCCTAGATGATTCAACCTATTTAACCCATTGGTCAGTTGCAGAAACTCAGAGCAGCACCAGCAGATCTGGGAGAAGGATCTGAGACTGCAAGCACAGCTTTCTTTGGACAAGGAGTCCCATAAAGGCATGCAGAGGCAAGCAGTTTCTTCCTCCACCTGTTGCTTCACACAAGGCTTGACTGCTTGGAAATCCAATCCTAGATCTTTAAGTCACAGCGCCTATGATTCCCTTCCCTTGGCTTGGCTTGAACCTGTGTGGAAAAGCTCCCCCGTCATTTACAAAGGCTTAGTGGATGGGGAAGAGCAAAAGCCCAGGGCCACAGCTTTCAAAAACCCTGGTGGTTCTTGCCACAAGATTGAGGTTTTGATCTCAAATTCTAGAAGGGGGAAAATAGGAAAATATGCATTAAGGGGCCCAAGAGGCTAAGGTGGCAAATGTAAGCACACAAAGCTCCATGCTTTCATATATGAGTCAATATAATGCACCTGTATAAAGAGATGGGATTTTTCTCACACAATTGCATGTGCCATCTTGCAGATCCTTCAGTCAGGAAGCATTGACAACACAACCATGGCTGCTCCAATGCATCTAGTCTCACCTTCTTAGCACCTTTTGAACTCAAAACATGTATTTTTGTGGAGTCTCCTAGCTACCATGCAAGTTAAGGAGAAAGATGCAGCTTCTTTAAGGGATTGTCAAGAAGTCTGTCTTCCAAGGGGACTTTTTGTTTCTATTTTGAAATTCAAGCACATCTTGTTGCTCTGATTGAATCAAGAGCATTTTCTTCCCAACAGAACTTTAATGTTGCCAGTTGGGACTGCTAATAACTGCAGAGAACAAACATAGGATATGGCTGGAGAATAATCCGTCTCCCCAGTAATCCTGGTCCAACTCAGGGAATCCACCTTTCAGGCTGCAATCAGGTTTTAGAAACCATGTCTGTTGTTTGCTAAAGGAAACTGTTTTTTAAAAAAAATATAGTTGCAGTTCAAGGCAAGAATTCCAAAGAGAGAGATTGGCTACTAAACATTGCTACTCCTCTTTCAATATCTTTCTTCCAAGTTACAGTGAGGCTTCAAAATTGTTTCCATAGATCAAGCAGAGACTATTTTAAAGCCTCTCCTATTCCAGTGAGGATCCATTTCTGGAGGGGTAGGAGTGCAATTCCAGGAAAAGCAGCTACTTGCACCAGGCCAATAGTTACCCATCCATTTTAGGATCAGCTGAGTCCTATCTCAATCTGTCTAATAGGATTTCTTCTGCCCAATAAATACCTGTTTCCCATTTCTTCTGCGAAGCCACATTCTTTGCCGAAAGAATATCTGTACATAAACTCAGATTTTATTTCTCTAGGAATGTTTTATCAGTTCCAGGAGCTAATGTCAGATTCAACACTGTGGAAATGCTAATGCTTAACCAAATGGGGTGGGAAAGTTTTCTGGGATACTGCTAAATACCACGAGGTCCTCTCTCTTACAATAATAGGCGGAAGCTCTTCTCATGAAAGCATGGTATTCCATCTAGATGGATGATCATTTCTGAAGAATGGGAAGCTTTTCCAGGATAATTCACTTTAATTGGCTTCTACTTGGCAATAAAAAGAACACTGCAGTCTCCCACAAGCACAGCGCATTGCAATTTTTCTTACTCTCTCTTTTACCATCAAGAGAAAAAGATAACATATGATTTGTTATTGTAGAACTGTATCATTCTAAACACTATTTAGTTTTGTAACCCAGCTCAAGCCACAACATTTCAGGCAACAGAAGCTGCCTATAACCAGAAACCTAAAGGTGCAATAAATAGAGAGCCAAGAAATAAACCTACAAGTTGGCTGGTGACATTGCAAACATTTTTTTAGGATGTGGAAGAATATTTTTAGTCATGTATGTGCTACATTTCATTTAGATGTCAGAAACATCTCCCAAAATATTCTCATTAAGTTGAAAGGGATAGCTTTCTCCTGCTTAAAGTATGTCCTTTTTGTCATACCATACCTTATGAATACAACAGGGATGCAAACCAATATCTATCCAAAATGTAAAGTATATTTGGCTTTGCATATTTTAATGATGTCAGACCCCAAATTAATTGAAACAGCAAGCGAGCATTTGTCTACTACAGACTGATTTCTGATGATATCCATCTTTGGACAAAGGTTCGTGGAATTAGAGCAGGGGTGTCAAACTCACGTCATCATGGCGGCTTCACGTGACATATTGGGACTTTCCCCCCCTTCACTAAACCGGGCAGGGGTGGGGCCAGCATGTGATGCGTCTGGCCTGCAGGCTGCAAGTTTGACATCCCTGAATTAGAGGCTAATCTTTTGGCTGTATGCTACGGGGTAGCCAGCTGATACTTGAAGTGAGAAATGTGCATGTGATTATTTTACAAAAAGAAAAATTCAGATGCAAGAACATAATACTGATATGCTGAAATACTCTATAGGTTTCTCTGCTTAAAAAAAAAACCAAGGGAAAAAAGCAGAGCAAAGCAAATAAGTTCAGCAATATCTTAAGTATTTTTCTTATATTCCTTTTCTGTAGTGTAATTGTACAGTACATCTTTATGTACCCAGAGTTGCAGACGGGACAGTCTAAAGTTTTGGCACTTTATCCCTGCCTTCCTAAAACAAGAAGTCCTAAGTAGAGTGCATGCCAACATTTTCAGCTGTCATTTATATATTTAAGTCCCTATCTTTTGGAATTAAAAAAAAATACCATGCAGCCCACGATTGCTATGAGGAATGTACTGTAGCAATAGCATCTCTCCCTCCCTCCCCTTTTCTGTCCCTCCCTCCCCCTTTCCCTCCCTCACTCCCCCGGTTGAAGAAAATGGAACCAATCTTCCAAGTTCCAGCCCGAAAACCTCCCTTTGGGTAGCACATTCCATGCAAGGAGCACTTCCAAACCCTCCCTGCTCAAAGCTCAAATAATTTCCAAGATCCAGCCAAAACAAATCATTTTTAAGTCCTTTTGTTTTTAGTGGCATATAGTTTCCATATGGTTAATTTCCCCATCAAACTTTAAAAGATCTTAGAGAAAATTAGACATTACAAACATTCAGGCTAGAGTTCAAAAGAGAAAGAGACAGAGAAAGCTGGAAAGGAGATTGAAAAGGAACAAATGGAAGGAAAGAGTAATGTCTTTCCTTGTGTTCTATTAAATCATAACACTCAACTGCTATGTAAGACTTCACAATTTTGCATGACTGAAGAAATAATGGGATAATTACTTCCTTTCCAACAACTTTGCTACACAACATCCTACACACACAACATACACGCTAAAGTGTTTGGTTTCTTTTTTTTAATATCTGAGGTACTTTGAAGCTGTAAAGTATGTTAATGATGATTACAGAATTTAATTGGCAGGAGAAAATGCACCTAATCCCAAGAGGACAGTCATGGCGAACAGGATGAGTCCAACTTGTATTGATTAGAGGGCAAATGGAGAGCCATTACTTGCCACTGCCAGATCCTGAATTTTAGGATTCAGAATGCTCTTCATCTCATATTTCTTTGCCTAATTTTATCCTTTTATTGGTGTGGTAAATAATGAGCACATTCCCAAAGCATTGGATTTGCATGAACTACCATTTTGTTTCCTAGAAATATTTATGGGATCTGCTTAGGGCAGGGGTGTCAAACTCAAGGCCTGGGGCCCAAATCCAGCCCATGGGGTGCTTAGATCTTCTGCCAGTGAAAACGGAGCTCAGGAAGGCCATGTAAGCCCCCCCAAAACTCTGTTTTCACGGGTAGAGGGTTATAGGAGGCCATTGCAACCAAAAGCAGAGCTTGCGAGCCCATTTTTGCTGGCAGAGCACTCAGGCCACCACAGGCGCCCCTGACAAGTGACATTGAGCTGGTCATGCCCACCCCAGCCACGCTCATTCTGGCCCCCCAACTTTGATCCGGCCCTCAATTAAATCAAGTTTGACACCTAGAGTCTAGAAATTTCCCTGAAGATCTCATGGGGGCCAAATAGCTAGCAACCAATGTTTTGTTTTCATATGCCAGAGTCCCATTTTTAAAATTAAAATCTTATTAAGTTGAACATACAAAACTAGAAGTCTACCAGAATTTATAATGGAAGGGACCAGTATTTGTGAACATCACATTTTGGTTTTTTTCTTTGCTCCTTAGAAAGTCAGTTTTAAGTTTGTGGAGAATATGAAAGGCAATTTGTGATAGGAAAACTAGAGGTTGAGTTACTGTTAATGAGAGGGCACACCCATTCCCCCTCAATACAGACAAAGGCTTGTCTGCTGCTAAAATAACTGGCTTAGTAAACATGAGGCCAAATTTATCTAATATTGGCTTCTTTCCCATAGTCAGAAGGTAGAATTGCAGAGTTTTGTAGCTCTTGTAACTGTATATTCAGCTGGCCACCTTGAGTAATATTTGTGGAAAAAGGAATTGATGTCTTGGTAGAGCTCTTTGGGCAGGGGACAACGGTTACTGGGTGTTACTAGGTGCAGGTGTTTAATGCATAATCTGTGTGAAGGCAAATCAGCCAATAATTTACCTCATCCCAACTTCACTCCCCAGCCAAAAAAGCCCCTCTTCAGAATTCAGTATTTTTAAAAAGAATTGGGTTACCACCAATTCCCCTCCAGCAATAGGTGCTGCAAGATTCATCCATCACACTTCATCTGAAGATAAAGACCTCCTTTGACTGTTCAATGCTCTGCAAATATGGGCTGCTGGCTCTTAGATCTCTTTCATCCTTTCCGGTGGGTCAACCAATCCTGCCTAAGTAGCACAAGCACAGAGGCAAAGGCAATCCACAGACTTCAGACAGTGACTTCTCTGTCCTTCTATGAGATCTTGCGTCTACAGTGACTCCATTGAGAAATACGCCTTCAATGGACTGACAGCATGAGGCGGGAGGGGGGAAGCACATGCACATGTGTACGTTTCCTGTGACCGAAATCTCGGAAGAAATTGTCGTTGCAGCCTTCTTTTGCAAAAGGCCAAATTTGTTATACTGGGATGGGTGGGGGGGAGGGGGAGGAAGGGAGGTTTCTGCAAACGAAAAAGCCTTTGTACTTTGCACATGTCAGAA